ATTATTTAAAGTATTTTAAATTACTGAGAGAGAAAAAGAGAGAGAGAGAGAGAGTGAAAGATAGATAGATAAAAAGAGACGAGGGAGAGAGAGAGAGGGAGAGAGAGAGAGAGAGAGGCGGGGGAGAGAGAAAAAGAGAAGATGTAGAGAATGAGAAAAATACAAGAACGAAAGAATGTAAAAAGTAAAAAGAGAGAGATGGAGAGAAAAAAAGAGTGAGAAAAAGAAAGAATAAATAAAGAGAACGAAAGAAAGGCGGAAAATTTAAAAGATAAAAAATAATAATTCCTCCAAAAACCGTACAATAGTTAGTTAGGAAGAAGTTTTTGCAGTGAAATACTCACAGTGCAACAAAGTAATTATTTCAAACCAGAGGAATGAACATTTTTTTTTAATTTTGGGCGTATGAAACGAAAAAATATCGCAAAAATTAGCAATGAAGGAAAAACAAATGATTAATTAAAACCATGCTCATGCACAGGAAAGATAAAGCCAAGGAGAGAGAGAGAGAGAGAGAGAGAGAGAGAGAGAGAGAGAGAGAGAGATGGAGAGAAGAAAGAGGTTGAATAAAGGAGAAAAAAGAAATAAAGAGTGAGTGAAAGAAGGCTTAAAATAACGAACACTCCTAGATAAAAAAGAATGAAAGTTAAGTTAGAAAGAGGGAGAGAGATAGAGAAAGGAGGAATTATAAAAAGAAAAAAAAGTTAGAGAGAGAGAGAGAGAGAGAGAGAGAGAGAGAGAGAGAGAGAGAGAGAGAGAGAGAGTTAATAGCAAAAATTTTCTTAAAAATTTTAGTAATAATGAAATCCAACACTGAGAATGATTGGTGTTCAATTATAAAAAAAATACACAAGTACACTAACATAACCAAACAACCACCACACCAACAAACACAGACAGACACACACACAAACAGAGAGATACGTAGCATATAACCACAGGCAAACTTGAGGGTAGTTAGTTTGTTAGGCAGGTTTTTTTCTGATGTATATCAAGTAAAAAAAAATGTAAGAACATATGCAAGGGCACTGATAATGATGATGATAATGATGATTGTGATGACGAAGATGATAGTGATGATGATTAATTGTATTGTTGTTTAATGATGTTTTGTTGCTTGTAATGTTGTCATTGTTGTTTGTTTGTTTGTTTCTTGTTGGTTCTTTATGTAGTTGTACCTAAAAACTTCATTTAGCTAGTGTATTCTATTGGACAAAAACACACACGCGCACGCGCACACACACACAAGCACAAACAAACACACCTATCTGTAATTTAAACTAATTCCACTGAGTGCAATCATGAATTTGACGATTATTTTAATATTTTATTTTTATATTTTAATTTATTTCAATATTTTTTAATTTCCTTCATTCATATGTTACATACATTCATTCATGCATACATACAAGCATTCATTCATTCATGCATGCATACATTCAAGCATTCATTCATTTTTCAAATATTTCACATTTGTGGAATCTTTTTGGGAGGTAACTAAACTAGCCAAAATACTTTGAAGTACTACTACTAATAATTATAATATTAGTAGTGTTTATTATTATTATTAACAACAACACCAACAATAATAATAATAATAAATATAACCATAAGCAAAATATTAGTGATTCAACTAGAAAAAAAACAACAAATCAGTTCTAAATTATTTTGAACTCAAAAAATAAAAATATGAAAAAAAAGACAACAACCTCATTAACAACAACAACAACAACAACAACAACAACAACAACATCACCAACCACAACAACAATAATAATAATAAATTTAAAAAAAACACAAATCCATGTCAGGCACATGTGGAGCTATTTCTAGACTAAATTAATTATTAATTTGTAAAAAAAAAACAAACTGATAAAACCACAACGATAATGTTATATCTCTGAGTATGTGAACCTGTGCGTGTGTGTGGTTGTGTGCGTGTGCGTGCGTGCGTGTGTACAGGTTTTTTTAAGAGAAGAATTGATTTTATGCAAACATATAAAAAATAGTGTATGTATTCAAGTAGGTAAGTTTATTGTAACTATAAACCAAAGCATGAATGAAAGCATGAATGAAAGGATGAATGAATGAATGGAGTGAATGAATGAATGAATCAGTGGAGTGAATGAATGAAAGAATGAAAGAAAGATACTAAAAATGAATGAATAACTTTATTGTATCACATAATGATTGAACGACTGACTGAACAAATGAAAGAATAAATAAAGTAAAAGAAGGTATGTTATGAACTATGGAGTACTCAGAAATTTAACAATAACAACAGGTAATAATTGAATGAGAGATGAACAAATGTTTAAGAATGGATGAATTAATGAATGAAAGAATGAACGAACGAACGAATGAATGAATGAATGAATGAAGTAAATACAAACGTTAGAGCAACAAGAATAAGATACATAAATAACAACTGAATTAATGACATTAAGGCTGCAGAAATAATGGTCGGTTTGACTGAATGAAAGAAAAATGAATGAATGAATGAACGAACGAATGAATGAACGAATGAATAACTGAATGAATGAATGAAAAAACAAGCAAAAGAATGAACGAATGAGTGAATAAAGGTATTAAGCGAAAATAGAAAGTACTAGTTAGTTAGCCTTTGTATTGAAAGAAACTTGGTCTATATAAATAAAAGAAACACCCATTTGTTACTATCATACACACACAAACATATACACACACACGCACAAACACACACACGCCCACACGCACAAACACACACACGCCCACACGCACAAACTCAAAATAACCAATCAACAGAAGAAACCAACCGTCAAATTTATGGTAGTAGCCATCGTGTAGATCTCCGGCCGAACCAAAATCGATGAATTTGACCTCGCGGGTTTCGAGGTTCATGATGACGTTTTCATCCTTGATGTCCCGGTGTATGACTCCAATGGAGGCCAGCTTGAGGGCAATTTTCGTGATTTCTTTGAATATGGGTCTAGCTTCACCCTCGCTCAGGCGACGTTTTAGGGAAACGTAGTCGAACAGATCTGACGTCTGATTGGTCGGTTGTTTGGTGTTTTTGTTGTGATTGGTCGATTGGCTGATTGATTTGTTGTGATTGGTTGGCTAGTTTAGTGGGTTTAACTGATGATTGACTGGCGACAATGATGATGAAAACAATTTGACAAACAAACAGTCAATAGCAACCAGAATGATGACCGGCAACAAAGAGCAACTAACTGACCGATGCAGATCTTTCGGTGATGATGATGTACTCATCGGCCATCTCGTAATAGTCAACCAGTTGAATGACCTCGGGGAGGCAGCTACACTTTCGAAGTAGGTGCACTTCCATCGGGATGACGACTCCGTCTCGAGTCTGTTTGGTCAGGGGTGGGGAGAAAGTGATAATGATGAATATGTTAATTATGTTAATGATAAGGTTAGATTATGTTAATGATAGTGTTATGTTAATTATGTTAATGATAGTGTTACGTTAATTATGTTAACGATGCTGATAACGGGGTGATGAGGTTTTTGTCTTGACAAGTATGTAAGTATGGTAAAAAAATAATGATAGAAACAACTGCAACAACAGAGGATTTAAAAATGGACATGCTTTTGTCTTAGAACAAATATTATTCATACATATATAATAAAAAAATTTTAAATTCAAATTTCATTCCAATCTCTCTCTCTCTCACTTTCTCTTTTTAGCTTTTTTCTTTCGTTTCTCTTTATCTCCAGCTCTCTATCTATCTCAATATTCAATTTCGATGTCTATTTTTAAATTTAAACATTTACATTTTACAAAATCATTCACTCTTCAGGACTTTTGCTTAACAATTAACAGACCCTAACAAGTTGTTTGTTTGTTTGTGTGTGTATGTACGTACGTATGTATGTATGTAGGCATGTATGTACATAAGCATGTGATGTGTGTACTTGAAATATAAACTACTCCTACCCACCCCCCAAAAAAAGACTATAAATAAATAAGATTGCAATATCATCAGAAGAATAAATGTATATATTCTCTTAGAGTTGTGTCTCTGTTCAAAGTATATTAGGAGTTAGTGGATAGAAAGATGGTGCAAATGCCGGAGATAAAGAAATAAACCAGTGGAAAATTTAATGAATAAATGAATGAATGAATGAATGAATGATTGAACGATTGATTGAGCGAAAAAATGCTTCAAATCAAAGTCAAAATATATAAATTCTGAAGTAAGAATGTATAGAAATAAGAGTGGATAAGAAACCAGTGTAATAAAAGAAAGGATGAATGAGTGAATGAATGAATGAATGAAAGATTTAAAGAAAAGGCCAATAAAAGAATTAATGAAAAATAGTAGTGGCAATCAAATAAATAATTTGATAAGAAGATGTAGACACAATTGAATTTCTAGCTAACTCTACAATAGAAATAGCTAGCCTATGAAGGATGGGTGGATAGAGCTTATCTTAAATATTTATATAACACTTCTCAGAAAGACATTATATAATAATTATAATAACTTGATGTTAAGGTTACTACTACTACTACTACTGCTGCTGCTGCAACCAAAGCAGCAGCAGCTACTACTACTGCAAAAAAAAATTATTATGACAATAACCATCTTACCACATGTTACATCAACATCATCGTCGTCGTCGTCGTCATCATTATCATTACATTTTATAATTATCTGGAACAAAAATCGATTGGAGGAATGGATAGATGTATGGATGGATGGATGGATGAATGAATGTATGGATAAATGAATGAATGAATGAATGGATGAATGAATGAATGAATGAATGTATCATCTGTTAAAAGTACTGTCACTCATTAGTAACAGCAACATCATATGTGTTACGTAATCACCATTAACATTACCATAAAGAACATCATCACCAAGAGCATCACCATCATCATTATAAACATCCAAGAAATCATCATCATAAACATCCAAGACAGAAGCATCATTACCATCATCTCAACAAAGCCAGTCTGCACATCATATGTTATCTGCTACCAATGTTACTAGTTTTTTATCTGCTCTATTGTTATTATTATTGCTATTATTGTTATTATTATTATTATTATACTATATTATTATTATTATCACCAGCATCATTATCAGTTAGCACTGTCATCATCAGACAATTCAGTCTATGCAAATACACCAAGAAAAATGAGTCGATGACATCTCTGTCTTCTATGTAAACACGTGCGCGCACACACACGCACACACAAACTCATACATAGACATACAAACACACATACATGCATGTATGTTTACATTTACATTTACTTCAAAAATATAATTCTTTCTGTATTTTGGATGGAGCGTTAAAATACCTGTCTGTGCGAAGCATTTAACATAGATTAAAGCTGAACCCTGATATGATTATTACTTCCCTATAGTTCTAATCAATTATGGGTTCATACATACATATATACATTAAAACGTACATACTTGCATAAAGCATAGAATGTAGTTAGTTAATTAAGCAATCCTTGTTCCTTAGCTAGTTGAACCACACATATATAATATACAAACATGCAAATATACATACATACAAACAAACAAACAAACATACATACATACATACATACATGCATGCATGCATACATACAAACATACATGAATATAAACAAACATATAGGTGAAAACTCAAACGCATACAAACACACTTAAACAAGAAAATATTATATATAAAAATCTATAACAGTTGTGTCAAAGTTGAATGAACCTTTTATGGTAAAAAACAACAAGAATAGCAATAATATTAATAATAATAAAAGGAATATTAATAATAATAATAATAAAATTATTAGAAAAATTTAAATTTTAAGAAATCAATAGAAAAGGAGGAGTAAAATTAATAATTGAATGAGAAAAATTTTCAATTGCATTGATCAAGAGAAATTTCTGTATGAAATTGTATGACAGTATGAGATTAATAACAATAATAAAATATATTTAAATATATAATTATATTATAATATAAATATTATTATTAATTATAAAATAATAATAAAAATTATTATTATTATTTTTAAAGTAGGGGCAAATACTTGAAATAACTCAAAAAAACATTAAAAAAGGCAAGCATATATACATGCAAACATTCACACAAACAAACAAACAAGCATACAAACAAACACACATACAAACAAACAAACAAACAAGCATACAAACGTGCAAACAAACAAACAAACATACAAACAACAAACATACCCGGACTTTTTCAGTCACTTTAACTTTTGGTACAAACTTCACTGCAACCTGTAATTTTGAAGAAGTAAAAAATCATAATGGTAATAATAAATTATTATTTAAATTATAACATTTTTATTCTTTTAATTTATTTTTAGAAAGTTAAGTAAGCTCTTGAAAATTTTTGCTCCTCTGTGATAGAAAATAACCTGTAATTTATAACCTTATTAATAATTCAATGATCACAATAAAATAATTATTATAGATAGATAGATAGATAGATAGATAGATAGATAGATAGATAGATAGATAGATAGATAGATAGATAGATAGATAGATAGATAGAAACAGTGGATGAAAAAAGGAATAAAATCTAACCAATTTCCCATCTTGTTTTCGGACACCACAGAATACTCGGCCATTTCCACCAGTGTTTAAAAGGTTGGGTAGTTCATACAACTCGTCGAACTGTCGCCTGTCGATTATGTGATGGTGGTGTCTACTTCGAACTGTACTGTTGTGGTTGTTGTTGTTGTTGTTGTTGTTGTAGGGACTTGTGTCGTCATTACTGTTGCTGTTGTTGTTGTTGATGTTGTTGTTGGCGTCTGGGTTGACGGGGACTACGTTGTTATTCATACAGTTGATGTTGTCGGTGGTGAAGTTATTGACATTGATGTCGTTGTTGAGGTAATTGTCGTTAATGTTGTTGCCGTTGCAGCTGTTGTTGTTGACGCTATCAACGCCGCGATCGTTGCTGCTGTTCAATGCTATTTCTACCAGCGTATCATCACTTCTTTTAACATTGTCGTTAATGTTATTGAGGTTGTTGTTGTTGTTGTTGTTGTTGCGGACGTCACTGACCATGTTGTTGTTGTTGTTGATGCTGCTGCTGTTGCTCATGTCATCATCAATGATTAAAATCTCATCTAGCATATCATCAAAATTATTCATGTTTCCATCTTCATTAACGTTGACGTCATCATCATCATCATCTGTGCCGCCGTTGTTGTTGTTGTTGTTATTATTACCATTAGTGACGACTAAAGTTGCTGAAGATGAGGAAGACGATGACAGCGATCTTGCCGCCGCTGCTGCTGCCGCTGCTGTAGCGACTGCTGATGACGTTGGTGGTAACATTTTGGAAGCGTCTGATGATGATTCTGATGTCGATCTCGACTGCCCCAATCCAGATGATGATGACGTCGACAGAACTGACGATGATGGTGATTTCACAGTAAAAGACGACGATGACGATGATGATGACGACGATCCAAAGCCTAAAGATGATGATGATGATGATGATGATGTCATTCTTGATGATGATGTCAATCTTGATGATGATCTCATTCTTGATGATGATGATTCAGGTGGTGGTGATAATGACGACAGAGGTGATAAAAAAGATGATGATGGTGATTTTAATGAGAAAAGGTTTCTGATGTAGTTGGCTCTAACTCTATTGTTTAGATCATTGTTGTTGTTGTTGTTGATGTTTTTGTTGACAGCATTATTATTATTGTTGTTATTGAAATTATTATTATTATTATTATTATTATTATTATTATTATTATTATTATTATTATTATGGTCATCGTCATCATCACCTTTGATGTTGTTGATGCTGTTTAGCTTGTTGTTACTGACGTTGTTGTTGTTACTGGGGTTGTTGTTATTGTTGTTGTGGATGGTAGTGTCACTAGAAGAACCGGCTGTAAAATAAATGAATAAAAAAAATGAATGAATGAATGAATGAACGAATGAATGAATAAAAATTTTGAAGAATATATAAGAATGACCATGAAGAAATTGCAACCCTACATACAAACACACACATGTAAATACACACACGCACACACACCACACACACACACACCACACACACACACCACATACACACACACACCACATACACACACACACCACACACAATAAAACTGTCTATAAAAGAGGGCATATGCAGGTCCATATATAATGCATTATTAGGCTGCCATATATTTCAATTTTCTATAAGAGAGCCAGCCACACACAATATTATTACCTTGGTTTAATGATTTATACCAAATAAGCATGAAGGTATTCATTCCTTCATTCATTTTTTCATCCATTCTCTTTTTCTCTTTCTCTCTTCCTCTTTTTCGACCTACTTATCTATCTATCTATCCACCTATCTATTCATGTCATATGTTTGTCTCAATCTAACTTTCTGCCTCTCTCTCTCTCTCTCTCTCTCTCTCTCTCAATCAATCAATCAATCAATCCATCTATCATAGTGGTGATAAATGACAAAGACTCAGACTGAATGACAAAGACTGTCCATGAATGGTGATAAAATGACAAAATGAAGATGAAGATGGTATTGAAAAAAATTTGGCATGCTAATGATGAAACTGTAATGCTAGTAATTATGATGGTTAAAATATTAATAATAATAATAATAATAATAATAATAAGAATAAGAATAATAATAATAATAAGAATAATAATAATAACGATGACGACCATAATGATCATAAAAATAATAACTAGAATAATAATCATAGAAATAAATCTACATCGGCTAGACTTTTAGCACATAAAAAAGACAACAAAGAAATAGTATATAGTGTAAATATTTATATATATATATATATATATATATATATATATATAGAGAGAGAGAGAGAGAGAGAGAGAGAGAGAGATTGAGCAACTGTAAAATAAAAAAATGAATAAAATCCTTTATACAGTACTAACATCAAGTAAACCAACAAAGAAAATGTTCAAATAAAGTTATATTTCAGTGATAGTAGTAGTAGTTGTTGTAGTATTGGTAGTAGTAGTAGTAGTAGTAGTAGTAGTAGTAGCAGCAGCAGTAGTAGTCGTAATAGTCTTAAAAGTAGCAGTAGTAATAGAAAGTAGTAAATGTATCAGTATAAATATAAAAATATATTTATATATTTTGTATTAGTAACATCATCAGCGCTTACTGCTACTACTACTACTACAACTACGGCTGCCACTTAAACGACTAATGTGGTCGCGGCAGCTACTACAACTACTGCTTCTATTACATTTTTAATACGATTTCAGGGTGAACAACATTTATTACAGGCCATAAAATTACATTCCAGTTACTGAATTATGCAAGATGATGACGATGCTGATGATGATGGCGGTTGTGATGATGATGATGGCGGTCATGATGATGGCAGTCGTGATGATGGTGGTGGTGTATATATATACATATATATATATATATATATATATACATATATATATAATTATTAATAGGTGTAAATCATTAAATATACATGAACAAGAAAAAATAGTTGTAATTTCTAAGGAAGAATCAAACAACAATTAGCTATATTGACATTGGTCATCATCGTCGTCATCATCTTCATCATCGTCGTCGTCGTCAGTAGACTGATCAGTTGTTACCATTAAATAAACAAAACATACCACATCATCAACAAAAACTTTAAAAGCAACAACAACATCATCATCAACAACAATATCTACTAAAATCAAGGACATCACCATCAACAACAGCCTAAAGCACTCAGAAGCAAAAGAATTAGCAACAAAAACAACAACATCAACAACAATGAGAATGACAACATTAGCAATAACATTAATCACATCAATAACAAAAGTATTGCCTGAAACGACAACAACAACATTAACAGAACAACAACAAAATCCAACCACCCATGTAATTTTATTTTAACAAGTTTACATCAATTACTCTCTACCTACCTACCTACCTACTAACTAACTTCTTCAAATTGGTTCATACACACAAACATACATACATGCGCACACACATACATGTGTCCATACATACATACATGAAAACAAACATACACAGATACATACATACATACAAACACACATACATACATACAATACATACATACCTCATGCCTTTCATTATCTTCCTACAGATCAATGCAATGCAATGTTTGTAAACAAACAAACTAACTACACCACTTCACTTCCATATTTTTTGCTTTCTTTTTCTCTTCTCTCTTCCCCCCCCCTCTTTCCTCCTCTCTATCTCTCTCTCTCTTTCTTTCTTACTCCCTCACTTTTTATCCTTCACTTGATTTAAAAGCAGTTCATCTTACCCATTCAGTTATTCATCATATTCATTCATTTAATTTATTGAACAATATTTCAAACAACATTTATTCATTTATTACTGTCTTGCATGTACTCCTCTCTCTCTCTCTCTCTCTCTCTCTCTCTCTCTCTCTCTCTCTCTCTCTCTCTCCTTTCAACAAAGTGATTGGTTTTAGCTTACATGCATGTCTAAATATAAGATTAATAATATCAGCTGTTTAAGACAATTTAATGTAGTTTAATATAATGATGATGATGATACAGGTGATGATGATGATGATTCCGGTGATGATGGTGGTACCGGTGATGATGATGATGATGATACCGGTGATGATGATTAATGACATTATCAGTCAACTAAAACAATGAAATGTAATGTAACATTGTTGGTATCTTTTAATGAAAGATGATAACGTGATTAAATGATACCATGTACTGGAATGATAGCAGATGATCATGCGATGATACAGATACTTTGACTATGTAACAGAATGATAGTATAACTATGTAATGGAATGATAGTAGATGATAACACGATGATACAGACACAAAGATGATACTATGAGGATGATAACATAGGAGTGGCAACATAAATAACGTAAAATGAGGCTTTGAAACAGGGCAGCCAACCTTTGTGAATAGCAAGAAGAAGAAATTAAGTAAAACCAAGAAACCAATTAAGACAGATATAGATCAAAAAAAAAAGAAATACCACAGATAAATAATCTGCAAAATGAAAGTGAATATGAAATATGAAAGTAGATGTGTCATGTGGTGTCAACTAAAAAAAAGAGAGAAAACCAGAGAGAGAGAATTTTCATAAATCAGTACAACCATTGTTTTTGTTTTGGAGAATGTTATTGTTTCACTTGCCATTTTCTGTATAAACAAAAAAAATACCGACACACACATACACACACGCACGCACACAAACAAGCAAACACACCAACAAACAAACAAACACATACACCTTAAGTCAATTAATAGCATGACAACTTACATGTGTATGATATTTCATTTACACTTTTACCAAAGCAACAACAACAACAACAACAAAGACAACATGTAAAATGTAAAAACTACTACAACACAGATGGACAACTAGAACAACAATACTGACAACAGCAACAACAACTACTACTGTGTTAATTAGTTTTACCTTTAATAACACAAAAAACAAAATTTACTTTAATTTCTAAGTGTCAATCTGAAGGGAAGAAAAAACAGACCAACCAACTGACAAAGATAAATGTATACAATTAATAAAAAAAAATGTACATACATACATACATACATACAAACAAACAAACAAACAAACAAAGATTCATACATACATACATACATACATACATACATGCATGCATACAAACAAACAAACAAACATACATACAGAGGAAAAGTTAGCAAGAAAAGTATGAGCACATATAAATGTGTGTGTGTGTGTGTGCGTGCATCTGAAGAGAGGGAGAGAGAGAGGAAGAGAAAGAGGAAGGGAGAGAGAGACAAAAAAAAGTACAAGTATATAATATACA